GAGAGAGAGAGAGAGAGAGAGAGAGAGAGAGAGAGAGAGAGAGCGCAGGATCAGGATGCAGCTTGTTAATGGGACAGAGCCTGCCTGGTCCTGCTGGGGAGACCAGAGGCCCTTAGATCTGGGTGGCCCTCAAGGGGACAGGGCCCCTGTTTGGCAAGAAACCCCAGGGCACACGCTGCCCGGGGAAGTTGGTGGCTGGGAGCTGAAGGCTACAGGAGGGGCTGGCTGCCCGCTTTGGGGGCGGCTGCTACCACCCACTGTCCTCTGTCAAGGCTGTGTCTCCTACTGGCCTGGGTGCAAGGAAGGCAGGGCAGGCCTTTTACAAGGAGGGGCACGCGGGGGCCCAGGCACCCTACGTGACCCAGAAGGTGCCCTGCTCCTCCAGCAGGCTGAGGGAGCGGTTGGTGAGGGAGGCGGCGTCCCTGGCGAGCTTGTAGCCGAAGAGGCGCATGGTAGGCGCGCAGGCAGCCTGAACCACCTGCGCCAGCTTGAAGGGGATGCTGAAGCGCCACTTCTCGAACTGCTCCGACGAGTTCTTCTGCGTGGAGTAGACGTCGCTGCCGTCGCGGGCTGCCTGGGTGTTCTTCTGGATCCAGTCCTCAACCTGCGGGGTCAGGGGGATGCCTGCGAAGCGGTACATCTCGCGTGCCTTCTGCAGCGGCCTGAGCGCCACGTCCTCGTAGCGCACCAGCATGTAGCGGCCGCGCAGCCAGGCCGGCTGGCGCAAGCCCAGCTCGGCAGACAGACGGATGCTCTCGCAGTTGCCCCGCAGCCGCTGCACCTCCTCCTCCCGCAGTCGGTCCTGCCCCTCCGCCAGCCACTTCTTCCAGGTCTCGTACTTGCCAGCGAAGGCCACCATGCGCGAGGCCAGCACGGCTCGGGGGTCGCGCACCAGCTGGATAACGCGCAGGTCCAGCCGGGGGTCCTCGGCCAGGGGCTGCAGGAATTCCAGCTGCCGGATGCGCACGGCCTTGAGGGCCATGTGGTCCTTGCGGCGACAGGCCTCGGCGGCCAGTGTCACGTTGAGGGGCCCGCAGCGGCGGTCCTTGCAGCGGTACTTCTCGGAGACTTTCTTGACAAAGGGCGTGCACACCGGGTCCTCACACAGCGAGCGGCTGGAGCCCCGGCGGAACATGAACTGGGTTAGGTGGGCCTCGGGCGGCGGGCTGATGAAAGGCTCCAGCACGTACAGGTCGCACAGGAACAGCTGCTGCAGCACGTCCCGGTATACCAGGGCGGAGGCTGCCGCGCTGGCTCCACCCGGCTCGAAGGACACCGTGCGCTCGATGTGCCACAGCGGCTCAAAGAGGTAGAAGATGTTGCCCTGCTGGTTGAAGAACTCGCCCACGAACGAGGAGCCCGTGCGGGTGGTGGCCATGAGCAGCACGTGGCGTCGCTGCCGGGGCTGGGCCGAGAACCGCAGGAATGGCTCCTCCAGCGCCTCTTGCGCCTGCGCCTGCGCCTCTCCCTGGGGCTCCACCCCCAGCTGCAGGCTGAGGTTGTGCAGGCGGCTCTGCAGCTGCGAGAAGGCGGAATCAAGCTCGCTCAGGGACACGAGGGACGCGTTCTCGGCCAGGATCAGGGCTGGGTCGGTGCTGTTGGCATCTGCCAGGGACTGGGGGATCTGCTTCAGCTTGTCTGAGACCCTGTTGAGGACAGAGGGAGACGGGGATCAGTATCCGATTTGGGAGATGAGCAGTCTTCCAGGCTGATCACCCACCGCCTATCCCAGCTGGGTCCCCGTGGAAGCAGAGCTGGAGGCAAGGATTTGAATCTGTGTAGTTCATTTGGAACACGATCACGGGAAGAATGGGAAATGTGAGGGACAGTCGCACCCTGGCGCTTCTGGCTGGCCAGTGCAGGCAGGAGAGTGCTCTAGGGTATAGGGGTGCAGGCGTCTGCAGTAGGACTTGGCCAGTTCATACTGAGGGACCCAGGTGGGCAGTCACTGTATGGCACCTGTCAGTCTGTGCAGGGCTTGTCCTTGGGAGAACAGGTCTAAGAAATGAGGGCAGGTCCACTGCAGTATCCTAACAATTCAGTGGAGGGTGGGGGGATCCTCAGAGTAGCCTATTTGAAGGACATTGTGCTGGACTGGAGCAGTACCCAACTTAGGCAGCTGCACGTGGCAGCCCTACCCACCAGACTGTCCACATCAGGACCCTGCCTTCCCACAGGTTCACCCTCATTCATAACACCAAGACCTGTAAAGGGGATGTGCTGCTACTGTGAGCCATCATTCCAGGCCAGGAAGTCCATTAATAATAACATGTAGTCACAGCCAGCAAATACCAGACAGCAGCCACCTGCCAGAACTGGGCTAAACCCTCTCACGTCTTCTCGGTTAGTCTTTCGAACAAGGTAAGTCCAATCATCAGCCACAGCCACAGAAGAGCCGCCAGAGACTCAGAAAAGTGAAGGGCTTGCTCTCCTAAACTCTCCACTGGAAGGTCCCAGCCTGGGGTGCCATCTCAGCTGCCTGAGTCCAGAGCCCAAGCTCCCATGGGGAGTCAAGAGGGGTGCACCTGACCCCCTGCAGGCCCACGGGAAGCCCCGCAAGTCACCTCTGTCCACACCCCACCTTGCTGAAGACTTGCTCTGGGACCCTCACCTCGATATGATTTTATTCTCCTTTTCAATGAAGACAAAAACTACCACCACGAAAGCCAGGAAAAGGGCATATTTGCTCCTCATCCTCAGGCTGTGCACAAAGTCCCGGTGGTCCTGGGGCACAGCGAGTCCTTTCTCCATGGGGCTGTGGGCTGTGGGGCTTCTCAGCAGCTGCAGGCACTCAACCCGGGAGCGGCACTCGGGACCCAGGCCGTCTTCTTTGGGTAGGGTCACCCTCATCCTGTGGAGAGACTGGCAGTCAGAACACTGGGTCTGTAGATGGGGACACAGAGGGCACCTGTCTACCGGGCTTTTAGGGTACCAGCTGTACCTAGCATCAGGACCCTGGTTCACTCTCAAGCCAGACTACACCCCAGGGGACTGGAGGTGTCTGTTTTTGTGGGGAGTGAGACAGAGTGTCAATATGTAGTTCAGGCTGCCTCAAACTTGCGGCAGTCCTCCTGTCCTGCCTCAGCCTCCCAAGTGCTGGGTTTATGGGCCTGTGCCAGACAATTGACTTTACTATTGTTTTTTACAGGAACACAAAGCAAGTCTTTATCTTAGCAGGGGCAAATCATTGACTTTAAAGCAATATGCCACACCACATCGGCAGCAGCTCCTACATCTTGTGTTTACCAGGTCTCTGGATTGCACCAAGAGGCCAAGCAGAGGATGGGGATGTAGCTCAGTGATGCAGCGCTTGCCTAGCACGCACGAGGGCCTGGGTTCCAACCCCAGCACCCTAAGTGGGAACAAAAGGCCAAGGCCAGGGGCCCAGGACTGGGCTCAGTGGTGCCGCTGCCTGCCTCGCAGGCGCAAGGTCCTTAGTTCAATCCCTGGTACCCAAAAAATAAAAAATAAATAAATAAATAAATAAATAAAAGGCCAAGGCGAGAGCTTGGCCCATCCACTGGGGTTAGGTTTGTGTAATCCACCTGAGGATACTGGGACAAAATTACTTGGTGATGCGTTTCTCCTAAGATGTCCTCCTCGTTAAGTGACACAGGACTTAGACAGAAAAGAATGACCCTTACAGCATAAATGTTTACAATAGCTAGAAGACTAGAAACAACTACATAAAAAATGGTGGGCATCCATGCAATGGTTTATTAAGTGGGCACAAAAAATGAAGTGGATCTATAAAATGTCCATGTGAATAATCCACAAAATAGAGTTTTAAAAAGTGAGGTGCAGACCTGGGGTGTTTATGAAGGAGATGTAGGACAGGGCAGCTCAGACTGTACTGTTGATGCTTCCGACTGGAAGGTCCTCTGTCCCAGCGGTGTCCTGGGGCTCTTTGAGGCCTAATAGCACCCCTGGCCGCCTCTCACCAGCAGCAATGTCTCAGGACACTGTCAAATGTGCTCTGGGGCCGGAGGTGCCAAAGCATCCCAGGCTGAGAACCTCTGAGGCAGGTGAGCCCATTTGACAAGAAACTAGTGAGAGAAAATGCAGATGAGGGACAGCCAGAAAACTTGTCCTGTGGGGAAGTCAGCGAGAGGCGAGAGGGAGAGGCGAGTTGCTGAGCGCTCCCTCTGGGGAGTGGAGGTCCCCAGAGCTAGAGGAGCTTCCTGAGTGTGGGCGGGGACAGAGGGGCCCAGAAAGGATGAGGGCACAGGCTGGCAGGAGGACAGTGGAATGGAAGGGCCCTCTTTTCATCTCCTGGGCCTTTCCCTGTGCATGTGTCACACAAGTGTTCTGAGTGTCTCTGGCCTAGGCACTGGGATGTAGCAGAGAACAAGCAGACATGGTTGGCGTCCTCGTGGGACTTGCAGTCTGGATGTGAGACAGGTGGCTGGCATTTACTGAGTGGTGTCATGCTAAGCCCTCAATGAAGCCCTAGGGGTAGCAATGGACCCATTTCACAGACAAGGAGACTGAGGTTGAGAGAGGCTGAGGCACTTGCCTGAGCTTCCTCCAGCAGCAAGCAGCTGACCCCTTGGAGCCTCGGTGACTCAAGCCTCTTGGTGCCCAGGGGCCCTTATAGCACATGGGTGGGTGGGGGGCTTTCCAGCTGGTGGCTTGTTCATCTCCTTTTCCCAGACCTCCCTGCTTGGGTCTGAGTGTGAGATGCCCAATGGGCCCCATTCCCCCTGCACCCCATTTAGCCTGTCTCATTCCAAGGGTGAAACTTAACAGCATATCTCCAGGGTGCGAGGTGCTAAGACCCCAGCTTTCTGCCCTCCCAGCTCTTGGGTGAGGGTGGCCAGTGTCTGATGATGTGTGGGACACCGAAGGCGCTGGTGTCAGAAGTCCAGGATTCTAGTCCTTCCTGAGTCACTACCATAATGTGCAACCCTGTGTGACTTAACCTCTCTGGGTCTCAGTTTCTTCCCTGTAGCATGAAAAGGGCAGTCCCTACCACATAAAGATGCTGCAAGAAACATGTGTGGTGCATGACAAGTTTTGGTTAAATGAGAGAGAGAGAGAGAGAGAGAGAGAGAGAGAGAGAGAGAGAGAGAGAGAGGGAGAGGGAAAGAGAAGGGAGAGCAGGGTGGAGCAAGGGGAATGGCCCAGCTGCCTTCCCCCTTCCCAGTCTAATAACTTTGAGATCGAGGACTTGGGTTGCCGTGATGACAACCTTTCTTCCCCTCCCTTCCGGGGACTTTCTATCTTTGAGTTGCTGTTCCAGCCTCCTCACCCCAGAACAATGCAGCGCTCCTAAGATCATTTCCCCACATTGCCCTAAAAGGAAGCATTGAGGCTGAAAACTGGCTGGCATGAAACAAGGCAGGCTGGTAGCTCGGCCCTGTCCCAGGCAGGCTGCTTCTGTTTTGCTTCAGAGCCCAAGGGGCAGGTGGCAGGCAGGAGAGGGGGTCTGCAGATTCCAGGAGGGATGTGGCAGTTCCCCAAGTCCAGAAGTAGGAGGACACAGGTGCCAGGAGGCCACAGGGTCATGAGGGAGTGGGACAGGGCCCAGGCTGGGCCACTTGGCAAAGGCCCTGCCAGAACCTCCCCCACCTGAGGCCGTGCACGGAGCTGGCTGTGACATCCATGACACCGGAGGAACACTGGTCCACCTCCCTGGAGTGAGTGTCGGTGTAGAGGTTGCCCTGCCCACCTGGCCTGCCGTCTCTGCCTCCTCCCCCGCCACTGTGCGACAGCCCAAGAGAAGGTGGCATCCCTCTGCCTGGGTGCCCGTGGAGGCCATACTGCAGGGCACTAGGTGAGTGGCAGCTGCCAGCCCAGCTCTGCATGCTGGAAGTAAACGGCAGAGGCAGGCAGAGGAACCGGAGCAGAGTTCTCTGGCAGCCACCAAGAGCACACAACACACCAGGCCCTAGCAGGCACCAGGCCCTAGCAGACACTGGGAGCTGGGAGTCCCTTGCGTGAGTAGTGCCTGGCTCTGCCCCCAGGAGCCAAGGATGGGTTGGGATGTGTCCTCACTGGCCACCACACAGCTCTGCTGTGCCCTCTCCATCTGGCTTCTGCCTGCCCTGCAGCAATGGCCCCAGTACTGAGTGGCTGCTTCACGGCCGCTGCTGCTGGCCTCCACCTCCCCTTTGGGACCCCAAGTGGGCCCAACATCTGTCCTCCACTGAACCCTTTCCCTAGGTGATGGCAGCCACGCCCAACCCACCCACTCACCTTTCTGGGTCCTCTCAGCAGTTAGATCTTTCCACGCAATCCCACCCACCTCCTGTTCTGAACTCTTCCTGCCTCAACATGAAGCCCCAGGAGCGCTGATCAGGCAGTGCTGTCTCTCCCGCCAGGGCCGCAGGCAGCTCCCTCTGCACAGCTGGTGCCTCTGCCCTGAGGCTCTTCCAGACCCCTGGGGCGCTTCAGGACTCAGCTCTGAGATCCCCTGCTCCCAGTCCTTCCAGGCCACCAGCTTCTTGTCGGCATGGCATCGATGCCACCCCCACCCCCATTTCCCTATGCATCCTGTTCATTTCCTTCCAGGAATCCACAGGAATGTCCCCCCACCTTTGTGTTCCTAGGACCAGGAATGGCGCCCCACATAGAGCAGCTACTCTGTGATTACTTGCACAAAATGTTTAATCACTCCAGGTTGGTGGAAAATATGAAGACAGCTGGGCGTGGTGGTGTATGCCTATGATCCCAGCGCTTGGGAGGCTGAGGCAGGGCCAGCCTGGGCTACAGAGTGAGTTCAAGGCCAGCCTGAGGTACATAATGAGACTAGAGCCTGTCTCAAAAAACCAACCCTCCTCCCTCAAAAAAAAACCGAGAAAGCGCAAGCTTGCGATAGAGAGAGAGAGAGAGAGAGAAAGAGAGAGAGAGAGAGAACAAGATGAAGAGAAAGAGGAAAAGGAAGAAGAAACCGCAGTTGCTGCATGGGTGTACCATGTACACATGCTGGGAGCTTGAACATGCACACTACAGTGTGTGCCAGGAAGCTATGCTGGGAGCCTCGAGTAGGAAGCGCTCAGAGATAGGTGTGCCCTAGAGGCAGAACGCTCCGCAATCTCTCCTATCAACTCCCAGACCCTCCGTTCCGCCCCTCACAGCTGTGTGCTAATGCAGGAGAGGGAACAGCTCAAGGCAAAAGGGAAGGCTGGGGGAAGAGGGCTCAGGCCTGCAAGCTGCTGCAGGCGGGCACCCCTTCCCTCCCGGCTTCCCCTCGGGTCCTTCTGCTGGCCTCCTTCAGGACTTGGCAAGGAGCCTCCTCGATAGGCAATAGAGCAAGATTTCCCTGTGCATGGCCTCCAGCCAGGCCCGACCAGCAGGGCCCCTACATGGATGGCTGCCCAGCCCTGCTGCCCCTAGGGAAGGTGGGTGAGCAGCGCAGCAGGAAGGGGGCTGGGAGGGAGCTTTGATAAGAGCCGGCCTTGCCAGGTCTTGCATCAGGCTGCAAAACTCCACTCCCCTCACTTGCTTGCTGGGGCCAAGAGTGCAGAGGGGATGGGGACTCAGCAGGCCCAGCTCACATCCTTTCCCGGGAAGGGAGGAGGAGGAGCTGCACAGAAAGAGGGGCTGAGCCAGGAAGAGCTGGCAGGATGGAGAGAACCCCATGCTGGAGCCCAGACGCTCTGAGTCTGTCTATGGGGCGGGGGTGGGGTGGGGGGGTGGTTGTTAGGGTGTCTGGCCAGAAAGCTGGTTGTGGTGGTCCACGCCTCCCAGCACCTGGGAGGGGCCCTGTGAGCTGTCCCTGCATCACCGGAGAGGGGATGGAAGGCAGGCAGGGATGTCCCAGGTCTCTGGCAGGTAGGGGAGGGAACAGGAGCACCTGTTGGCCTGTCCAGGAGAGGCACTGTCTGGTGGGGACATCCAGAAATGGTG